CGACGGCTCCAGCCCCGCGGGCCCGCGGCCTTCCCCGCCTTCGGGCCGCCCGAGGCGGGACACTGCCGCGAGGCCGCGCCCTCCTGGAAGGCGTGGAGCTCCTTGAGGGTGGTTTCTGTCCTGTGGAACCTTGCCGGGGCCGCCATGGCGGTCGCCTGTCTTCTTCCCCTTCTAGTCCAGAAATGAACTTACCGGACACCTCGCCCTCCCCTGTGAACTCTGCCCCAGTCAACCCGGTGGAAGCCCTCCCGGCTTTCCTCCGCGAGGGCCTGTGCCGTCCTCGCAGGACCCTTACCGTCGGGGAAGGCTTGCTTTCCTACCTCTGTCTAGTGCTCGACCTGGTGCCGAACCTAACATTTTGGTGCTGTGACTCCTGGAGTCGCCCCAGTTTGAGCTCCCCACCAACAAGCCACGCCTCTCCTTCTCTGCCCTCTGCCCTTGCCATTGCCAGCCTCCATCCAGCACGGGTCCACTTCATCTCTCACAGGTGAGCCACTCTGCACTGCAGGAACTGCTGCCGCACTTTCTGCAAAAATCGTGGGCCCATGTCAGGACTCGCTCACGGCTGTCCTTCAGGATGTCCCTTTGTCCCTTAGGTGATGACGAACGGGGCGCACAGACATTTCTGTATCACACCCCAACAAAGGTGACCATCTTCGTAGGGGTTGTGACCAGCTTATGCCTTTGGCTCACTTCTGGTTTGGTCACTATGGGAAACATTCCTTACCACCTCCAAAAACACACTCTGCTTGGGTTTCTCTTAAAAAATGTACACACCCTAGGTCCCTGAGAGACTGTCAGACCAGAACAATTGATGGCCTGGCCTCAATACAAACTTGATAATGGCAACTACTGGCCCCAGGAGGGAACATTGATTTTAGTGTCCTCCGTGACTTAGACAACTTTCACTACTGCAAATGATCAGAAATCCCTTATATGCAAGCCTTTATTGCTCTCAGGGCATGTCCCTCCCTCATTCAGCCATGTGAGGTGGCTCAAATACTCTTGCCTGCACCACATTGTCAAAACCCACATCTGATACCCCTCCAGACCCTCTTGAGGATGTCCCTTCTGGTTTCACTGCCCCTCCACGTTTCCACAAGTTCAACCCACTCAATCTCTTCAACCTGTTGCCCCATTCTATCTGTGTGTCATCCCTCACCCTCCATCATCTCCAGTTCCTCCTCTACCCTTCTGGCACCATTTTCTCCTCCAGCACACCACACCTGGTCTCCCACCCCTCACCATCTCCTAGTCAGCCGCCATCTCCTGTCAGCCATCTTGTAGCCATCTTATAGTCAGCTACCATTTTCTCAACCTCAACCCCTTGAGCAGGCTAACCCTGAGGGACTAGTTTGCCTTCACATTGCTTTTACTCAAAGCTCTCATAGATTAGGATCCTTCTCTGCAGATCCCCATAACTATATTAAAGAATTACAATTTGTAGTTAATTTCTATGATTTACATTACAAAGATCTCTGTATTATCTTTACATCCACTCTCTCCCGTCAACAAAAACTCAGCTGTGGGAAGTGGCTCAGGCTGAGGCAGACCACAGACATCAGACTAATCCTGACCATCCCACTGGGGCTGCTGCAGTGCCAAATGTGGACCCCCACTGGGATTATCAGGGAAATAATGGCTTGCAGTGCATAAATGTCATGATTGGTTGCATAATCTTGGGCCTTAACAAAATTTCTCACAAACTAATCATAAACTTCATGAACAGACCCAATATGCTGATGAAAATCCTGTGGAGCTCCTCTCCTGCCTTACTACATCTTAGCCAAAAGGCTGAGAATTGATCTGCCTTACTCATACTTTAACCAAATATACTAGTGTAGATCCTCAATCCCCTGTGGATATAGCCCTCATCAATTCCCATATCATTTACTAATCTGCCTGTGACATTTGAACAAAATTAAAAAAGACTGAGCTTGGCCCTCAAACCTCACAGGGAGATCTTAATCTGGCCTTCCATGTCTTCAATAACAGGAACAACAACAACAAAAAACCCCAAAAAACCAAGACAAACAAATACATACCAAACTTAAATGCCAACTTTTGGTTGTGACACTCAGAGCTCCTTTTACAGCTAAACCAAAATAAAGCTGTGCCAACCAACCTCCCTGCCATGCTTTAAGTGCAGCAAGGAAGGACACTGGGCATGAGCCTGTGCCAACCTGCAGCCACCACCGGGACCTTGTCCCATCTGCAATCTTGAGGTTCACTAGAAGTCCAACTGCCTGTCCGCCAGGGAGTGGGTAAGTCATCTAACTCTGTACCCTCACAGGATACTTCATTGCTGCTGCTGGACTCATTGTTAGCTGACCTGCTTGGTCTAGCCACTGAAGTGGACCCCATCAAGGTATCTTCTTGGAGCCCCAGTTCTTAATCTTCCAAACCCAATCCAATCCTTCATTCTGTATACTACCTTTCAGGGCCACAGTGCTGTGGGAGTTCTAGGACACAAAAAATGACCTTTTCAAGCAGTAGCATACCTTTCAAAACAGTTAAACAATACAGTATGTGGCTGGGCCTCCTGTCTTTGGGCCCTTGCTGCAGCAACCATATTAACATGGGGCAAAATTTCACTTTAGGACAATTAATCACTGTCCATACACCACATCACCCTAATGAGCTCATAACACACAGAACACTCCCCACCCTAATGACTCCTTCCTGCCTACAACAGGTCCATCTGTTACTCATACAAGACCCCTCAGTTGCTATCTCTACTAGCAGCCCCTTCATCCTGACCACTTGACTATCTCTGATGAGAGTCCCTACCATGACTGTGTTGAGGTTTTACAGATAACTCCAATCCCCTTCCTCCACATTCATGACACACCTCTTCCTGTGGCCTCTGACACATGGTTCATAGATGGCAGCTCAATCAACACAGATACCCAAAAGAGGGCAGGATACACCATAGTCGACAAATCCAAAATAAGAGTCTAGTCTATTGCCACCTGGGACAGCTTCATAAAAGGCAGAGCTTATAGGCCTCACATGGGTCCTCACATTGGCCAAATAAAGTCATAAATATTTACACTGTCTCCAAATACACATTTAATATTATTCAGTCCCCTGCAGCCATTGGTAAGAAAGGAGCCTAATCAATACTCAAGGAATCCCCATTACAAATCCCCTCTTATCCTCAAATTCTAGAAGGAGCACAGCTTCTGAGACAGGTAGCTGTCATCCACTGCAGGGGACACCAGACGTCATCAGACCCCATTTCTCAGGGTAATGTCTTCGTCAACACACAGGCCAAATTGGCAGCACAACAGCCATATCCCTCTCATCTTCTACCTCTTATCTCAACCATCCTGCCACTACCCCAATACTCAGCCAAACAACTCCAGTTACTACACAAGTCTGCCTACAATAAAAACCCTCAGGGATTAATTTTCCAAGGTCCAAAACTACTCCTTCCTGACCAGCAGGCTTTAACTATTATCAAAAATGTGCACAACTGCTTTCATGTAGGCACCCAGGCTTTATATAAGCTCTTATCTCCAGTCATTACACATCCTTCTCTAAAAACCATCATCCACCAAATTACTCACAATTACCAACTCTGTGCCAAAACCTTGCCTCAGGGACATTTACCTCCTGCTTCTTTTCCCACCCACCAACTTTGTAGACATGCTCCAGGTGAAGACTGGAAAATAGATTTTATACACATGCCTCACCATAAAGCCTATAGACACTCTCTCACCTTTGTCTATACTTCCTCAGTGTGGATAGAGGCCTTCCCCACTGTGGGAAACTGCTGATGTAGTCTCTAAGGCTCTTATACAAGAAATCATTCCCCGATTTGGCCTACCTCAAAGTATCCAATCAGATAACAGGCCAGCTTTCATCTATCAGATTACTCAACAGGTATCCTCAAACCTCCATATTACTTGACATTTACTCATACCGTACCATCCACAATCCTCAGGAAACATAAAAAAGGCAGATTGCCTTCTAAAAATACATCTTACAAAACTCATCTTAGAGTTACAGCCACCTTGGCCCCAGCTCCTTCCCTTAGCCTTGACCCTACTCGGAGCACTTCCTTGAGCACCTGCTTTTTCTAAGCTCCTTTGAGCTCATGTATGGTAGACCCTACTTTACAACCTCCCAAAACCTTTCTCCTCTCACTGATTATATCCCAATTCTGTCCTTCCTCAGACACCTTCTGCAACAACAAGCCCATCTTTGCCTCCTACAGCCAATAAATAACCCCAAGCCTAACCACCCTAAAACTCCAGGAGGCTTAATATATCTCAAATCTTCTAAGCCTTTAGGACTACAACCCATGTGGACAGGACCAGAACTAGTCACCCTCACGACACCAACAGCAGTCAAAGTTGCTAGACTATCCTCCTGGTTTCACATCACCTAGGTTAAATGGTGTCCCAACAACCCTGACACCCTTAGTGTCAAAACTCTGAGTGGTCATCACACCTTCTTTCCAGCACCCACCTTTGTCTCACCAATATACCTGATAAACTCTCAGATTAATCTATGTATTGCTATTCAGTTGGGTTTCTGATCCCCTTTCTCCTGCTAATCCTTGCATTTGCTGTTGGGCTCTTCAAAAGACTGTAAGATCCCACACAAACTTGCTGTCATGTTCTTATGTAGGGTGGTGGTCCTTGCACTGTCCACTCTCAGTTGTCTGTCCTGATCAGATAACCTCCCAGCCTCCCACATCTCCACAGCCATGTCACACCCTCAACACCTCCTTTCACCCCTATTTCCCTTGCTGTTATCCTTGGCTTTGGTTACAGCCCCAGCATATACTTTCTGCCTCTCCTTGCCCGATGGGGTCTCATTGCTTCCACTAATTTCACCCCACCACAAACTCAGCTACAACTCACTATCTCCTACTGCCTTCTCCACCCTTATGCCAATACTTGGGAAATTTGGGGCACATCTGAAACTACTTGTGAACAGGCAGGATTCTACCTGGCACCACACCGTTCCAATCTCTGCCAAAAGAAAATGCTCTGATGTCACCTATTTTTACACCTCCAGATGGGAATGTAAAACCATTGGCCTCTACCATGATGGCAGCTCCTGGAAACAGTCAGGTCCGCACACCACAGTATCTTGGAAAAATGTCCCTTGAGCCCTGGATGTTAATATAACCTTCACTATCAAAAACACATCCAACCCACAATATCTGTTGGGAAAAACCTGGGGACTCACCTTCTATGATGGGGTTGGTGCCTACTGTGGAAGAACAGGCAACTTTCCTATCTTTAGATCTCAGGTGATAACTCCCTGTTATGGTTTGTGTTTGAATGTCCCCCCAAAGCCTCAGGCAGTCATGGGGCGGGCTTTTAGAGTTTAT